AGGTATTTTCTCAAGCTTGTTCATAACCAGGAATGGACCAGCAAGAAGGCCAGAGCATTTGCTTTTCATTCCTAAATCTTACTGAGGCCTCAGAAGGAAACGGCACCACTAAAACTGGCCCCATTTAATCAACGTTTTTAAGCATAGGAAAAAGACACAAAAACATTTTCCTTTAAGTTCAAATAAGCGTCTTTAAAGCAGGCACTGAAATGGTTTATATGTAGCTGTTTTAGTTTTCTTCCTTGCAAGGCAGGTGCTAAAATACCAGTAACTCAAAGCAGATAATCAGAAAACTATTCACAGAGTAAAAAATTAATCCCTGGAGTTAAGGTAAGAAGTGAGAGAGGCAAGCAACTCAAGTGCTCTTCGAGTACCTCTATTGGTTCATTAACACAAGTCTGAGAAAAATAATGGGAAAAGTCAATGCTTATTAACTTTCAAGCTACTCTCCCCTCAAGAACAGAGGAAGGACTAGAGAAATACAGAATATGGAGTATCCATGCCTAAAACTTAGGATGTAAAATTCTTTAAAAAGAATAAACTATCTCAGTCGTCGACTACTTACATGTCTTCTCCCTATCCACCTTAAAGAGGTACCTATATTTTCTATATTAATTTATTATCTATACACATCTATCTCTATATATATATATACATATACAAAATTGGTATGGCCTTACACTCCATTTAAGGATATTTTGCTACATCGGTCAGAGTGCAAATCAATTGTTTCCTTAAAAGCAGCGTTTTTACTTCATGACGAAATAAACTTGTAACTTAACACAATTTGCATGACCACATAGAAACGGTGGCAGATTATTTTTCTGGCTTGTAAAAAATTTTAAAACAAAAGTTCTATTTCAGCAGTTTGAAGATGGAATGTAAAGTTTCTGCTATTATATGTATATAAAATATATTTATTGAATCATACATTCATGCTGATTCCAATAAAAAAAAATAAAAGGTTTTTCTGAAATTCTCACCATGGATTTTTACTGCCAGAGGTTCCATGCTGTAGCCCATGCTGCTGGTGCATTCATGCTAACATAGTATTTCATGAAAATAAGACAAAAGACCAGTTTTACTGTTAAGCCTTTTATTCCCAAGAATCATTTCTCCTATCTATAATCTCCCGAGCCCCACCCCACAGGGTAGGAATTCCTACAACAGCAGCAACCTGAGCCACAGCCTTCAGACTCCCAAACTGTTCCTCGTTGTTTCAGACCCTTGCCAGGCTAACGCAGGCAGCTAACACAGCCCTCCTTTCCCAGGATGCAAAATCGAGTCCAGGCAGCAGAAGCAAGTTTTCCACGAGAGGGACACAGCGCATCTCTAGCCTCTGTAAAACACCTCTCACAATCTTTTACACAGTAGCTGCAGGTATCCAGACAGAAAGTTCTGTTGTCATGATATCCTGGATGTCAAAGCCAGACACAGGTGAACAGCAGTGCTTGTTGAGTCAAACTATGCCTCAAGTTCTCACACAAGTTGAAACAGGTTCTGGCAAGGAACTTAGCTGTTGGAGCCTAGAGTCCATGCAAAGAAAAAAAGGTATTTCATGTGCCATTTTGCAAGCTAGGACATGGCACTATTCATACACAGCCTTAAAATACTTTGGTAAATGAACTGACCTTGGTGCACACAACCAAAAGGCAGACACATTTTAGAATGTTAAAGGACTGCTGCTCACGCTGAATCTCAAAGATGGGCATGATAAAGTATCTTTCCTTCCACAGTCAGGTGCTTTGTCAAGTTTGAAATATCATCAGTGGAACAGCAGATCCCACCTGGCTTGGCAAGTGGCATTTTGTGACAGAAAATAGAAGGGCAACATCCTGTCCTTCAAGGCTATTCTGAGAACACACCATTACTCTTAAGTCTGCCATCTTTAAGGAATTGATGCAGTTTGAAAGCATTTTATTCAATTGCTTCACGTCTCATAACCAGGTAAGCTACTAACAAACTCCTTCGCCCCATCTTCCACACAATAGGCAAACAAGACCACTGAGATCTCAGGTGAAGTTTTTCAAGTTACCAGCCAGATTAAGAATGGTACTGCTGGGAAATGAAAAAATGAGAGATAAACACTTCCTGCTAAAGCATGCACAACTTAAGGAAACTGCTAGTGAACTGTGTACTCTCAGCCCCAGCGTGTAAAGGAGGAAAAACAACTAAAACCCACATTTTGTTCAAAAACGCCACTCCAAGAGGTGCAGAATCAGCAGCTGCAGAGAGAAAACTCCAAGTCTTCATGCCTGCACCCAGAACCATCCATTTCACCACAGAGAAGTGGACTCTCAGGTCTGAAGGGCACCCACTCCCTGTGGCACTGGTTATTCAAGTCAGAGCTTGCTGTTAGCACACAGGCTCAGATTCCTACTCCACGTGTAAATCCTCTTTGCAAAGTCCTACTTCCAATAACATGCTCACACCCCCACCCTTGACTGGACGTGACTAGTGTATACCTAGTACCACTACAGCTTCAGCTCTGAGTAAGTTTGTGGGGGGGTTTTGGTGGTGGTGTTTTTTTTGGGGGGGGGAACTTGGAAATAGGGCCCTGCAGAACAAGTGATCCCTGCCTGAATCCTCAGCTGCAGAACAAACACCTGCAGTGCTGAATACACAAAAATTTGAGTTCAGTGTTACACAGTAACTCCACACAAATCTGCTGCTACTCCAGGAGTTTCTCCCAGCACAAGAGAAGTGGGTAGCTAAGCCTAGGTAACTGTGCAATGCCCTTAATCAAAGAAAAGGCAGCAAAGGCTGCAAGGCTTCTAGTTCTGCTTGGTACAAAATACACCTGTAAATTAAAGTATTGTTTTTATTTCTCTTACACTATTAAGAGCAGTCAGAAAAGGCCAGATCACACCAGTCATACATGAAACCCTCCCATGCTCTCAGAAGGGCAGATCCTTAAGGTAAAAGGATCAAAGTTGTTCCTCACACTATGAGGCTTGTGTGGGTGCAAAAGCAGCCTGTGACAGGCCTGACCAACTTCTCTCTACCTTCTACTCCCTGCAGAGCACTGGGACATCAAAACCTCTTCAGCAGCCACCATCTCTCTCTCAGTTAAAGCAGAGGTGCTAGCATGGAGACAGTGTCTGATTCATTTGAGACTTCCCTGTAGCATCTTTTCAGAAAGTGAGGACTGCTGTGGTTGCCAGAGGTTAGCCTTCTTGCAGCTAATCTAGCTCACTGCAGCCAGGTGAGACAAATCAAATTATGACTTCTTTATAGTTACTTTCATTAATGCTTGCAAAGCACTGAAGACCTTAGACAAGAGATAACGAGGTTTTAACATCATAGTATTGCAGCAACCATACGGCCTTGAGGCTACTAGAAAGTTTAAACAAAGAGCCAGTGTGACACTTTATAGCAGGTCTTTTCAGTATACTTTGTTACAAGCGAGTGACAGAACAACCAAAATGCAAATACTGTTCAAGATGCTTTTTGAAAAGTATTTCTTTACAAGACATTCCCAGAAAGTTTTATGTAAATATTTTATTTTGCCTGTCGTTTTGGACAAGAACATCACTTTTTGGGTCAACATGTTGAGTACGATTCATACGAGAACAAGCATACACTTCATCTTATACGCTTTTAAATTCTTCACTGACATTCCTCAGCTCTCAGAACAGACCACAATGAGCCAGAACTGTCCAACTCCTACTACAGAAAAGGTGTTTCAGGCTTATGGGTGCATTTGCAGATTTGGTTAAGAGCTATAAAAGCTTCTATTAATAGCACTTTGATAAGTCTGAAGTGCAATCTGTTACTGTGGTCTTGGATTTAACATCAAGAACAGTAAAACCCCAACAAATACGAGAAAAAAGAAAAAAGGTCACAAACAAGGACAGAGTTCTGTGAAAGACTTCCATTGCATACCTTCACCTGTCTTTCCTCATATGAAAAACACAGAAAGCTTTTTTTTTAAAAAAAAAAATACCAGTTACCACCACAAGAGGAAGCAGTATGTATTTCCAGTACGCTGGCAGAGAGCATACCACAGCTATTGTCATCACACTTCACTCTCCGCCAATTCACTAAGACATTTAAGTCTTCAGGAATAGATTGTAAGCAAGTCAATCCGAGAAATATTTGCAAAGAGGAAAGGGAAAATAGCATAACAACTCCAAAGATGAAAATAAAACAGAAACTAAAACTGTAATGACTTCTAATACAAACAGGCTCAACCACTAAGTCTGGCAAGTAAAAGGCAAAAAATTACTCTTCTGGAACAGGCAATACCTATGTGCCATGTGGGCAAGAGCAGATTTGCTCTAGCTTTAAAACAAACAAAGATCAAGAGAAATATACCGCATATGCACAGCGATTATATTAATAAATCAGGAAAACACAGAAACAATGAACTTTGAGACAGATAAGCAAACTTACTAAGCAGTAATTTTCTATTACCAAGAGCTCTGAACTCAAAACTGTAGTAGACTCAAAACTGCTATTTTCATCCCCATGTTTAACACCATAAATTATAGAGATAATACTGCTTTGTGCAGTACAATCTTACAAGATGTTTGACTGAAGTTAGCCAGTTTTGTATTTTATTGTCAGTTTCATCTTCTTTCAGAGGAAGTGAAGAGCATTCAACTTCTTTCTTAACACCAGGACAGGCAGGTACCTTCTGTACTTCTGACAAAAATGCCATCCATCCCCCTTAAGTCTGGCAGAAGCAGAGGATGAAATTAATGCCTGAACTGCACAAATAACTCCATTACATACAGCAGCTTGAACTGTAAAGGACCCAACAGAGGTACTTCTGCTTCAGTCGTACTTTTGCAACATTTGTAATGGGGCCTGCCCAGCTTCAAATTGAAGTCATTAAACTCCAAATCCAAAATACACTCATTTTCAATTATTTAACTGCAGTCAAACTGATGAACAGAAAATACTAAAAACTCCAGCTATAACGACTGTTATCTAGTAAGTCTAGAGACTCAAGGAAGAATTTCTTCCCCTTGCAAAAACTCCAACATACTCTTGACTTGATAAAGCAAATCTAGACCTTTTTTATTATTTTTTTTAAACAATTTGCCAAGACTGGAATGAGAGATAAATAGAAGGCACAACAATTTTGCTTTTTTTTTTATACAAATACAAACTAAACATGAAAAAAACCTCCCTATTTCAATAAAAAATTTCACAAGTTCAGGAAAAGTGTTTTAAGAGTCAAGTTCTAGACATTTAAAACCTATCCCACAATCCAAAAAAATTTGAAGTGGTAAAACAGTAGTTCGAATTCCTTTCCGTGATCACGTAATAAAAAAGATTCTACGGATAGCCATTATTCCACTTTTACAGCGCCACAAAGCGAAAGGTGAATGTCAATTTTTCAAGTGGCAATATCTCCAGACCAGAGGACGTTCATATGACCCTCAAAGAATAAATCAATAGTTTCGTTTTCCTGCCCTTGAAACACTTGCCAAGTACTATGTTCTACAGGCTCTTGAACGCATGCATGTGAAATATTATTCCACTGACTGAAACACACCCAAATTCAGTAGAAAGAGGGGAGAAAAAGAAAAAAAATAAAGACATTCCTTTAGGAAAAACCACTGGTACCAAAAAAATCCAGTCCGTTAAGTTTGAGGTGAACAAGAAGATTCAGTTCTTTTCAAAATCCACTTTTCCTAAAACGTTGTTCCACAAAGCTGGAATCTGGGACAAGGACTAGAAAAAAAAAATAAATCACAAAACCATAACACAAACGAAAAGGGGCCAAAATAGTATCAAACGTAGCAGTCTATAACAGGCTAGGGCCACATTCCAAGATACCCAAGGCTGAAATTCACAAATCTGCAGGAGAAAAGGTTTGTGCCAGCAGGTCAACATCCACGATGCATTCACTGGCGTTGCCCGATCCCCCTTCCAGCTCCAAATCCTGGCTTCTGGGACATTCCTCCACGTGGAGGCCCTCGAATCCCACCTCCCAGCCCCCCACGAGTGCCTCCAGGTCCACGTGGTCGGTTATCTCTGCGGTCACCCTCCCTGGCAGCTCGTGTTTTCTTCTCCTCCACATTCAGGCGTACCTCTCCCCTGAACATGATGGGCTGCAACAAAAAGCAGAAAAGGTACTTTCATTAACGACTCACCAGTAACTCTTTGATGTCAAGCAGATTTCTGCAACCTCATCTCATATCCTTCTCTCTGTGAAGAGAGACTGAAGTGGTTTACTAGAAAATGGCAATAGTCAAACTATGCCTCCAGTCTTACGTCTTTACTGGAGACACAGAAGTGTGACACTTCAAAAACCAATCTCGGGCTTAACACTGAGCATTCTGACACCTTTTAGAAAAGAAATTTAACAATTAACAGTAACCTTTCCTCATTACACAGCAAGTCACAGTCTCACATCATGCAGAGTCCCAGTTGATTTCTCTTACGGCATAAAGAATATCAAATCCTTTCTGTCACCTTGCTATACAGGCCAGTAAAGTCTTTTGCTAAGATCAAGCTCAATTTTTTAGAATTGCAGCAGTTACTTGAGTAGGAAACCTTACTGAAGCAAGAACAGAGAGGAGCAAGACTGCAACATCCTACAAACATTATTGCAGACCAAAATTTGAAGTCAACAAGAACCTATGAACTGCAGGAGTAAGGACTCACCTGTTACAGATTACGCCTGCAGTTGCATAACAAACAAGAGCACGAAGAATATAATTGATCACTGGCACAGGAACAATGTCTTCTCATCAAATGGACAGACTAGCCTTTCACTTCTACTAGACTGCCTACAGAACAGATCTGAGGATGAAGCACATTGTCCTCCTCCAGCCACCAGTTGTGCTGCATCCTGTTACAGTCTTACCCACCAACTCCAGGGTAAACTCCCACATTCCACTTCGGGCAGCAGACACTAGGTTTAGCTTCACTGGTTAACAGTCTGGTAAAGCCTTTTAAACTCGTTTATAGCAAAGCTTACCCTGAAAAACATCTTACTGGTTTGGGACAAACATTTGCTCAAAGCACCGGGTCCATTTGCATGGCAGTTCACAGTGGATGTTAAAACTGTTTTTATAGGACTTCACGAGGGTTTTTTTTGATCAATTTATTTCAGAAAACCATGCCCATTCACTATACGTTAAACATTTACATGGGCTTACAGAAAACATAATCTGTGTGCACCAACTACTACACATTCAAAGTCTAACTTGGAAGCTGCTGTCTTTTCTGGCTCCAGTTACAGAGCGGCACAGCTGAACAAGTAAATCAAGGCCACAAACCCCTCAGCAGAGTGTGCACCTTTGGTGCTCCCTGACATGACATCTGGCACTCAGCTCTTACCTAACTCTTCCAATGCCACAAAACTCACAGGTGAACATTTCTAGTTTGTTTCAGCAAAGATTCAAACACGCAAGTTCAAGTCACTGCTGAAAGCACTCACATATTGCCTGGAGCTAAGAAATGGCGTAAGGACCCACTGTAACTGTGCTCCTTGTTCCCACCCCAACTCAGGCCAAGATCAACCAAACTTACTCAACCTACCTTTTATCATTCGTTTCAAATTATCTGCTTTAGACTTTACCCTAGACCACACTGGAACTGCTCAGCCTGCAATAGTATGAAAAAGTTAAGGAAACAATTCTCTGTAAAATCATAGAATGTTTTGGGTTGGAAGGAACATCTAGTTCAACCTCCCTGCAGCAAGCAGGAACATCTTTAAGTAGATCAGGTTGCTCAGAGCCCTGTCCAATCTGACCTTAAATGTTTCCAGGGATGGGACTTCTACCACCTCTCTAAGCAACCTGTGCCAGTGTTTCACCACCTTCATTACAAAAAATTTCTTCCTTATATCTAGTGCAAGTCTACTCTTTTTTAGTTTAAAACCATTATCCCTTGTCCTGTCAGCATTCCCATCTTGAATCACCAGCTCCCTGACAGAGTTCTAGAGCTGCTGGGCTTTGCAGGTACTAATTCAAACGCTGCCAAAACTGCTGCTGGCATCCCACCACACGAAACATCCCAAACTTAGATCAAGTCTCAAATGACTTAAATCTCTACTCCGGTTACCTTTCAATTTAAAGGCAGAAATATACTGACAATAATGTCGTACAGTAAGAAAATAAAGACAGAAGGATATTCCTGTCTGGTGAAATGCTAGGTTGTAAGCAAACACACTGCACAGCTGTTACGGTACATCCAGATCTACTGCCTATCCCCACATCACACAGTCATGGGGTGCACATTTTGCATTTGCAACCGCTGCTAACAAGCTGAGCAGGTACCTCCTGCCTTTGTTAGCAGAAATTCTTTTCAATCTCCACACTAGTACAGCCCCTCTCTTTCAACTTCTTCAACCAACACCACCTTACTTGTCCACAAGGTCAGACTCTCTAGCTTGCCCTCCCAAAAGCTATTTACTTACCCCTGAGTAGAGCTCAGCAACTTCTCACTGGAAAAAAGTTCTCTAATGAATAAATTCATGTTCATCTAAGTTGTTACGAGCTACTTCAATGACAAAAGACAATCTGTAGAAATGCTGCAAAAGTCTTCGTAACCAAAAGAGATCACACCTACTTTAAGATGCTCAAGAAAGGCCAAAGGGACCAAGGAGATTTTTCTTCTTGTTAAAGTAATCTGAAGAGCAATGCCTGTTATTACCAGACCAAATCCCACTGACTAGAAGTTTATTTACCCTGCTGCTAAGGATCTTCTGAACTGGTTCAGGATCATCAAACACCACAAACCCAAAATTGGGGAGCTTTCCGCCGCTGTTGATGCGGAGTTCAACAACATTGCCATAGCCTGCAAGAGAAAAGCCAAGTTCTTGGGTCATACATTAGAATGTTCTGTTGGCCACACTCATGGCTGTAACCCCCTAACCCTGAGAGCTCAGCGAAGCAACTAACTTACTTTGGAAAAAGTCCTTAAGCTCACTTTTATCCACATCGTGGGGAAGGTTCCCAACAAACAGCTGATGACTGTCCGGGTATCTCACAATCCGCCTGGTTTCCACATCGCCTTGTTCACCCTCACGAACTTGAACAGAAAAGCAGAACTTGTTTAAAGAAAAGTAATATTTGTTTAAGAAAAGACAGTCCTCATAGCAAACAAAGAAACAAGCCATAGTCAGAATTAGCCCTTTACAAAAAAAAAAATATTAAAATAATCAGAGTGCACACACTATTTATTTACTCATATAACAAAAAGGCAAGCATTCTACACTACTAAGTTTGTAACTATGGCAAACACACTTGAGTAGAAGCCTAGATATTACAAGAGAATGTTAGTGAAACTCAGCTATAAAGCTTGCCAGGCATTCAGACCAAGATAATCTAAAACAACCATATGTAGAAAAGCAGAAATTATTTGTTTACTGACAAAATTAATGTGATTTTAAAGGCTTTAATCCCTATATTGCTTCCTTCAAAACCATCAAATAGCAGAAAACAGTTTAATCCTTGTAGCTTCTCTTACTTGGTCTAGGACCCCTCTGTGGTGGGATGCTTGTTCGCTGCTCCCTCACTCGCTGATCTCTCTGAGGTCTCTGAGGTGGGGTCTGAGATTCAGGTTTTGCCTCAGGACGGGGCTGTATAAATTCAAAAAGGAGTTAATAGGAAAGAACCAGGCATAACTGTTGTTGATAAACTAAACTGAAAATACAGAAAAAAACCCACCAAAACATAGCTCTTCCCACCTGCAACTAAAACATGTGCTAAAAGGAAACATATAATCTGACTAATAATTTCAAAGTCATCCCATTCACAGTTATATACCACAAAGTGTGCCTGCCCAAAGTGCAGTGGCAGGTACACAGAGATATCACATTAGGCAAACTCTTCTGGTGGCAAAACCTCATTCATGAATAGGCAGTGGAAAAAGCAAAGTTCCCTCTTAAGAGGGTGTAATTATTTTAGATGGTAGATACATCCAGCTCTGGCATGAAAATTCCCTGGTTTTCCTCCATGAGAAACAATTCCTTCAACTCAAAAGCCAAGGAATAAAATTTGTATCAAGTCTATCAGGAAACACTGAATTCTGAAGTATTTGTAATCTCTGAAAATTCAGTAACCAAGTAGATTTCACTATATTTTTTCCCCGCTTCAGTTTACTACTATCAGCCAGTTTGCACTTAAAAATTCTCTGTGCCAGATTCCTACCTGCGAGACTGGAACTTTCACAACATGAGGTGGTATCCCCGATACCGGAACAGCTCCACTGGGAGGGAGGTTCTTACTGGTTACTGATGCCCAGGAAAATGTCTGAAAAACAATAAAACGAAAATTATTGTAACTCGATTCCAGACACTTTTTTATCCTTCTGAAATATATTCCTGATAGTACAGCTAACAGACACAAGATAATATAACAAATTTTAATATGTCCTTGATATTCAGTATCCAGCCACAATTTCCTTCAAATCATTTAAATTCAGAAAAGACTTAATGTAAGAACAATGAAGTTACACTTCCACTCTCTTTCTGTATAGAGTTGAAACAGGACCAGCAGTGGCCTAAAACCAAGTATCACATCTAAGTTAACCAAATTATTGCTTCCCTGAGTACCCATTTGTCCGCTTTGGCTTCCCTTAACACCAAAGGGTGACAAAAATCTCCACATAGAAATAAAGCTGAATTTCACCTATTTTCCTGATTCAGCATGTTGGTTGCAGTTTGTTCAGAATTTCAGCAGCTCTGTCTATAAACAATGAATTTAAGCCTCTCTCTGCTGCCACAGTTCCCATACCTAGCAATACACAAAGTCTTACCTTAGCTTCTGGTATTTTAACTAATCACCAGCTAGACTTTCAACTACCTGTTATTGTATAGGAACTAATGGGAAGAAGGCAACTGGTCGCAAGAAGAATAATTTGGGTAGGGGGAATGGGAGATGGGAATAGAAGGAGGAAATTACAGAGCATTTAAACACTTTTAATTCCAGATATTTTTCCTCTTGCCAGAAAGAGGATCATACTCTGTAAAACAACAGATGAGTGAAACCACTGCATCACAGAAAGGAGGCAGCCACTGTCATTACCCTGGAGTCCTCTTGCACTGCAGGAGCTGGATCAGCAGGAGCTGGAGAAGGACTCTTTTCCACAGTCTCTTCTGGAGCTGACTCCTCTAATACTGGCTCAGATTTTTCTTCCTGTGCTTCTGGTTCAGGTTCCTGTTCAGGCTCTGCCTCTGGCTCAGGCTCTGCCTCTGCAGCTGTCTCTTCCAGGTGTTCCTCAATGTCATTGCTATTATATAGCACCAAAAAAGACAAGAAGAGGGTGTGGTATTGCATTTGTTTCTATCACTGGGTGTTAAGCAATACTACTTTGATGCAGAAGTCAGGCACATTGCATACAACAACAACAGGGCTACTCTGTCTAAGTAAGGTCACACTACACCGCGATGCACGCTTCACACTGTTACACTATGGAGCAGCCAAAGCTTTACATTTATAGAAAATCCAGAGTCTCAGCATTCACATTAACAGTACATTGATTTCAGCTGCCCAATAAACAGAAATCTTTTGGCTACCAAAGAGGAAAATCACAAGTAGCTCTAAGCTCATTTGACATGTTCTACAAGCCGTCTGTACTACACGAAGTCAGATGTTGTGTAATAAGATATTACCTGACAGTCTGCTCATAATAAGCACTGGTATCATCGGGAACAGCCTCAGGTGTCTGCTGTCTTTCCTCAGGTTCTTCCCCTTCTTCCTCTGATTCTACATGAAATTAGAAAAGGAAACAACACACCACACACATCTTTAGTACTTGGTTCAAACACAAGGCATCTTCCACAACACGCAGCGGACGTTTCCACATGGGAAGCACTATGATGACGTAAAACCGGACAGACGTTTGCTTATACTTCTTCTGTCACTTCAGTTACTCAGTTTTAACTTGGTCAAAACACGTTCTAAATAGCTCACAGAAGCAGATTTACAGTCTAAAAGTCCGACTGCAACTGCTGAAAGAAGTCTTACAGTTCTTTTAATAGAAACAGAATATGCTAGAAAAATAGTCACATGCATGTCACAACTCCTTGCTAGAGTGCAAGGAAACTAAAGGCAAGGCAAAAAAACATAGAACATGAAGCTTAATGCTGATCTGCCTTCTCTGGTCTGGAAATGGAGTGTTAATATAGACCCAGAAACAAATACCAGCAGAACCATCCAAAAATTCCTGCTACTTACCCTCTGGAGGCTCAGTGTCAGAGTCACCGAAAACCTCATCTTGGTAGCGGAAGATATCATTGTGGACATAAAACTTGTTTGCAACAGAACCCTAGCAAGAAATCAAAGGTAGGAACTGATTCAATTACATCAACTGCAGTAATTTAAAAACTGAGGTAATGAGAAAACAAGAACAGCTTGAGCAAACCATCCTTCCCACATATAATTAATCCAAACTTGCCTCCTTCAGTAAGATGTCTGTTATTCAGGGGGAAGAAAAAAAACAACCACACATCACACTGGCAAGTCAAGTATGTATGGAACAATGGGAAAACTCTTATCAATGCTTCTAATTCCAACAGCTCACAACACTGAAAATTTAGGAGTGAGAACTTTCTAGGGTGTAAAGTACTAATTCTTAGCTCCAAGTTAAACTGAAAAACAAAGTGATCTTGCAATACTGCTTTTCACTACCATTTTCAATTATGTGAACTCCTTTGCTCAAGTAACATGTATTTCAAAAAGCACATGTATTTCAAAGGTCTGGAACCAATGCCCTCAAATGACAGGAAGCATCTTTCTCTTGCTACTAATTCTTTTCAGTAAGAGGACTGGCTGCCAATAGTGCAAATCAAAGACAAAAAAAAACCTTTAAAACACTTATGAAAAAAATGCATTGGCCATAGTAGTAGCTAAAAGTTAAGATATTTACAACTGTAATTATGATATTCAAGGTTGACATATAACCATGCAGAAGTAGTGTAATTTCTTAAGTAATGTGCAGAACATCACTGTTTAATTTTGTGGCAAATTACCTTCCCAGTCTAACCCTTCAGCTTCCAACACTGAACCAGACAGGCCTCATTAATCCTAACATACCAGAGGCACTGTAACACCACCAGCACTCAGTACAGCATACCTCGGGTGCAAGCACAAACGTTTGCATGAATCTGCGCACAGGCTGCCTGTTATTGGAGAGCTCTCCCATCACCTGGACTACAACACCATCATTGAGAGTAGCGTGGGCATCCACATGGCGAATCTTCGTGTGGCAATCCTTGAAGTTTAATGACAGCACCTTTTTGTGGATATCCTATGAAAGAATGGCATACAGGTTACACTGCTGAAGCCATTTCTGCCAAGCCAGCAGCTTTCCAAGAAAACAAAACCATAAAGCCCTGTTTCAGAATACATTCTCTAACTCTAGAAACAAAGCTTGGCAGCACGCTCTTTAAATTTGCTTTGCAAGCAATTTTACATTAATTATGAACATTAGTAAAGGAAGGATGTCTTGCTTAACTATTGCCATTTAGAGTTAGAGAGTTTGCTTTCCTCATTTTTTACAGAAAGGATTTGGACAAAGGAGGGATTAATCACAGCTAGATACATGTCTTCTCAACCACAAAGGTGACCAAAAAAAGGAGGAAAGAACAGTAAGGGGTTTTTCTAAGTACTTACAGATTGACCGTAGACTGCATCAGCTGGTTTTCCATTGGAATCCAAGCCACCATGGACATAGGAAGAGTTCTTTCCATAAAATCTGTCGAAAAGAAGTATTTTAACAGTAAGCTTTGTTATGTAAGAAGACTGAGCCTCTACATTAGCATGCACAAGGAATAACTACTCTCAAGAAAGTTTTCCTGTCTGAATTATTGGAATACAGCCACACAATTCCAAAATCCCGTTAGTAATTCGGAGATAGAGGGGAAAATGCAAAGCTCTCCTGTGTAAACTGCAGTGTCCAGGTATGTCAGATATTCAAGCACTAAAAGCCAAAATCAAAGTCTGGTAACAGACAGGTTATCCGATCCCATTCTCACCGTTCTCTACAAGGTCCCTAAAGCAATGCAATACCTTCAACACACAGGATGCTGAAGGCTTCCCCTCAAGTTCTAGCTTGAAGTTTGAGCAAGGAGCAAAGATACTTTTGTTCAGCTACAGTAAATAAGCTACTGCAGGTAAATCTTTCATTCTATAACTGAAGCGTTACAAGGCAAAATGTCACAAACATCACAATACTAGATTCTGTCAGAAGATAAAAGACTGGAACAGAATCCCATGGCACGTGCTAAACTTTCCTCTGACCCAAATGGATGAGGTCAGCTGTCAACCTACGTGGTGAAATACTCCTAGTAAGTGTTCCTGAGATGGGAAGAAAAGTTTCAGAAACTGTCTAGCTACTCAAAGAACAGCAAAACAAAGCAAATTCTAGCAACATAGGATACCTGTCAAATAAAAACAGGCTCAACTTGTCTAGTTAACAGATTGCAGTTTGTTGCACTTTCATAATTTCCGACTTTCCTTTAATGAAGAGCTACTGCATTGTCTACTGACGCATACCAATATACAAGCATACTCCACTTTAATGCTTTTCCCCTAGTCAGGGCGCATTGTATCAAACAAAATTACAAAAATGCTTAATTAAATAAGACCTATCCAAGTTTCATTTATAGTGACTACAACTAGAAGTAGCAAGCAACACGCTTTTGATTTACATATTACCTTTCTTAATTTTCGCTTAGAATACATGTCTAGCAGCATTTCAGTAACAACCGCAACACAGATATTTAAAGAATTCCTATAATGTACTATCCATGTTTTAGCTTTCTATTTTCATCAGCTGGGTTAACTACACCCCCAGTCTGGCTTGAGTAAATCAGATTTTTAAGTGTCCAAATTCAGCAAGCCAAGATGTGGTAATAAGCCTACTCACCAAATTTAACATACAAATTAAGAAATTCACCATGAAAAACAAATGATAAAGTGAAGCAAAGCTTTACCTGTGCAAATAGTCAGGTGCTTGGTAATAGTACTGCCTCACAAACTCCCGCCCGACCAGCAGGGGACTTGGCTTCTCCATCACCATTTCTTTGGTCAACTGAAAACTACGGAGAAAATCAAAAGCTCCATAAGACACGAGCATTTCATATTGCTGTTCACAAAGCGACAGCATAAGCCAAATAATCACAGTGGAAAGCATGCACCAAAACTCATTAGCTGTTTTACCACAGTAAGTAGTTTAACCAATGTTTTTTCAGAGTCATCAGTCTTTGGTGCCAAAGAGAAGACTGCTGGGTACCAAACCAGTCGCGGGAGAGGCTGCATAGGTGAGGGAGCTTACCTCATAACATGCCAGTGTTTAATCACCGTACAGTAAGAAGCAGATGGCAAGCAAGTATGGTTCGTCAAGAGGATTTGCTAAGTGGCTAAGTCATTTACAGTCGATCCCAGCTCTACTTACCTCACTTGACTTCACAATCGGAATTAAAAGTCAGATGTTCTAAGGCAAAGTCTGTGCTAATGTATTAGGGGCATTTTTAAAAGGTCAGCACAAGTCCAATCTATTTTTATCAGCAGCATAGCACTCCTTGCTTGTGAGTGACAAGCGCTGTAGAGGAATATCGGATTATATTAAAATTACTGTGGTACAAACAAATGTATACTGCTCTTCCCTTGCTTTCACCAAGCTCAGCAAGTCACCTCTTACTTAAATCCATAAGACCGTGGAATAAACATTACCACCCATATCCAGGCACAAATCAATCTAGATACCTTCTATCTACTTTCCATAGATCCGTAAGTTACAAAAACAAAGTCTTCGCTGATAGACTACACAATATGTACCTTCAGTCCAGGTCAGTCAAACCCAAAGGACATTGCTGCTTCCTTGCTTTCAAATACTCACACACACTGTTCAAACTCATACAAAATAGGTTCAACATGGTAGGAAAAAAACACAGATACCAAAGCATATTCTTGCTAACTAACACAGAAACAACAGTAAATTTGCTGCTTCATCTTCAATTATACCAATAGACAGCAGAATTGTTGCTTAGCAGACAGTTTTGCTGTTGATCTATCACAGATTATACACAACAGCTTCTCCTCCTGCAGCTATTCAGGCCTAGCAGCACTGACAAGAACAAGTTAGCAAAAGCGCTACCTGCAGTGAGTCAAGTAGATGTTAAGCAAAAGGGCCTCTAAAAGACCACATGTAGAAGCTGGAAAAAAAACCTCCCCCTATTACTGATTCCCAGTCCCTCCCCCTACACAGCACTTTCCCAAGCACAGGCTATGCAAATTCAACACAAACCTCCCCAGGGGGTGTGCAAATCAAAACCAATACACTACTAACTCGATCCCTCTAAAAAGGAGTTGAAATAAAACCAGGTAAATAAATGACAGACTGCACAACTATAAATGGCTCCAAGAAGTGGTGACATCAACTAAAAAAAGGAAGTCAACTAAGCAGTCCTCTAGCACAGACTAATCCAGATGGAGCCTGCAAAGTTCATGCCTAGGCAGTTATATTAGAACAAGCTTTCTCTTGTCACTAAACACAACAGCATCCTGGGCAAACAGTTTCCCACAACTATCATCTGAACAAACAGAAGAAAAACACCACCAAAACAGACTGCCTCTCCCATATACTTGTACCAAGTCTTGTTCCAGTTCATCCAAGGATCTTGTTTGACACTTCCATTACATTTGATGAATTTCAAAATAGTCATCCTTTAAATGCTAAGAACCGACAACAGACTATAGCTTCAAAAGACAAAGGTGACCTACCAGGTTATTACAGTGACAGCTTCCCCCAGAATTCAAGCTTATTCCCATATATGTCACAAGACAGGTTTTTACTCAATTTAGTTAAATAATGAAATCAGGCTCTTTTGAGAATTATTTTCAATTGCTTCTAGAATATGAACATACAAAGCTTGACATCCTCACATAATGGTAAATCGTTACCTATAGCACTCAAAAAAAATCTCACTCACCAAAAGCTTTCAGATTTCTCTTCTTCAGCGAAAGGGCCCTCACCTGTATTAACCTGCTACCACATCACCTTCAACCTTGTTCTGAGCTGTCCCAACGCTGTACTGAAGACACATTGCAAAGTGGCTTGTGATGATTCTGTCTGTTATATTTGCATGCAGAAAAAAATAAAAATCAAAGGACTTCCCTACTGCTAAAGGTTAGAAAAAAAATAAAATCTATCACAACTGACTTTTAACATGGAAAGAATAGCAGAGTGCCCAGTTCTCATCAAACAGATTTGAAAAGAAATGGGAAAAACCTTTGCATGACCTAATCAGAGGACAACAATCTGTTTTTACTCCTACTGCACCTGCTGCTACTCTGCCAGTTGCCATCTGTTCTTGTTCTCCAGCCAGCACAACCTGAATGATAGAAGGCAAGCATTTCCAGAAAATATTTGCTCCTTACTGCTCAGGAGCAATTTATTACTCTGCTATTCCCTGACCTAAGAATAACTGCAAATATTTTTCACCGCATTTCTACCGCACAGAGCGTAATAGTACCAAATGCTTGAACTGTCACTACATTACTCCTGACAGAAGATTATCCACACATTTTCATGTCAATTGAGACAATGATGAAAGGGTGAAAATTGACAGGAAAAGCTGAAAATTGGATGATTTAAGATTCATACATAAACATGCACTCATACTACTCCTTATATGTAAAACAAACTAGATAAGTGAAATTATAAAAAAAAAAAAAACCAACCAACCTACAGTAGAACAATTCTGCAACATAACTGAGCTCTTCCCTTAAGCCAAGAGATTTACAGGAAGCCAAATACCTTCTTTACAGTGGTTATCACCTGGCTGGTGGAAAATTTCACCATCTGTTACAATGCTCCTACTTGGCAGAAAATCAATGCTAGTCACTGAATTTCTAAAGTACAGTTATGTAAATTAGAGCCATTTATGTAAATTCTGTATTAGCAAAATCAGATTTAGGTCCACAAAAAAAAATTCTATCAGCATATTAGTATTCAGAAAAATAACAGACTCGGCACCTAACAGTGTTTTCCTCACCAAATTGCTACACAATGAAAGGAACTAACCATTGCCATCTCAACTGATTTTTTTTTTTTTTCATTTTAAAATCCAAAAAAGAGTTTAGGAATCTTGCTCGTTCTAGACTTCCTACACAATAAAAGTGTCTCTAATGTATACTACACAATGTTCAGGCTCTCAGGATAACCAGTGATTGCAAAACACACCTACCCTGACATAACAAGCCAGAGCACCAGACTCCATTGAAAAAAAACCAGAGAATTCATAAAATCCCAAACTTCACTTTCTAAAATGTGTGGCAATTTTAAACATCTGTCAAGAAAAACATCAGTACTAAGGGAAAGACAGGTTAATATTTACACTGAAGCATATTCTAAACAGACCAGGGTTTAACATTATCCTGATGCCTTTGTTCTATGCCGTTTTCATTTCTATATTTTTGACTTGCATTTCAATACATGAAACAGTCTCCAAAAAATTCAAAGTTACTACAAAGCATTACAGTTCTGCTTGACTGCTACATTACACAGCAGGTACAGGGAACAACCCTACAGCAGCTCACGGTTTCTCTTTGGGCTATTTGTGTGCTATAATGTGACTCATTTGATACAATGCTCCTGCCCATCTCTAAAAACTGGTAGAGTTTACAGGGCACCAAAACACTCATATTGCCCCCCCCCCTTTTAATTACAGGTTTAACCGACTAAAATATTCTCATAGAGCTGTAATACTGTTCCAAACAACCTAATCAGCTTCTGTGACAGTCAGATCTCTCATCTCTACAATTTAACTCTAACTATACAAAAGGAGCTCTGTCCATACGGTTGATGTTTTGGTTTTTTTTTACTCGGATGAAGATTATTTTTTCTGCCTCTAAACCAGAACGTCAAACTTCTCATGCAACTCTACTCCCTTATTTCGCTATCAATACAAAAAAGCTTTTTAAAAACTTAAGAAACACCCAGAGAAGTCCACATGGAAGAGATGTCACACTACAAAGCTGGCAAACAGCAATTTTGTTAGATATTAAAGGTCTGGTCAATAGTTAATAGGATTGCATAATTAAGTGTCATTTGGGATTTCTCCAAGTTACTTAGCAACAGGTGAGCACATTCAAAGCCACAAACCATTTATCCATGTGAAGTAACAACCACTAGAAGCAGTTATTATCACTGCTTTGGACAAGGAAAAAAAAAAGCCAGAATAAATAAAATCATTAAGAAAACTCCTAATATGCCTCCAACAGACATGATATAGATTAAACAATAAACAACTGCAAAACAATTCCAGTTACATGACTAGCATCTGCTAGCACTGCTGACTATAAAAAAAAAAAAAAAAAAAAAAAAAAAGCTGCTGGTACCTGCATGAACTATGATACAAAATATTACAGTGAGCAATGAAACACAAACAAGTTAAACTTGCATCACTAAGCAAATTCCAGTGTCCATCTCAACTAGGGATTTATATCATTCTGCCAGCTCACTCTCAGTAGAAAGAGTAATGTAAATATTTTCAAGGAAACTTGTATTTGAAACACTACAAGATACCAAATAGATTGTGAGGTACTGTCTTTACTTTGATAGTCTTAACTATCTGGAAAGAAAAACAACATGTACAAAAAAACTGCAAAACAAAACACAGCACATCGGTTGTTGATCCCAAGATTAAATTACGAAGTGCTGAAAAAGTACCTCAAATAAATTTGCAACCGAAATCTCAAAACACTAATCTCCTTTAAAAGATGTGTCTTATTACTTGCCTCTCACTGGATACAGAAGATGTCTCAGCAACACCACGTGTATTTTGTACAGAAGCCATTACAGACAGCTGCCTGCCTGAAACCAGTTCAAATTCCTCATATTTTGACAGTCACAGGCTGAGTAAAAGAAGTTATATTAAAGGTAGCACTGTTCAACAGGAGGCAAGACACTTAAAAGCCAGAGCATGGAAACTAAGTGATGGGATATACTAACACATAATAAAACATGATTGATTCCTCAAACTTCACATAGGTTTTTCTCCATTCACTACAGCAACTACTGTCTACTCTATGACCACC